CACACTGGCTCCCGGCACTTGTCATCACGCACAAGGAACCCTGGCGGGGCGAGGAGTCCCGGGGGGGCAAGCTAATCCCTCCCAGCCCGGCTGCCCCGGCTCCCCTGCAGGCTGCGTTTGTCGCCCCCCACCCCCAGCACTCCCGGTGCTCGCGATTGGCTAACGTGTTCTCGCCTTTTTTTTTTTTTCCGCCTGAGAGCTCACTCGGAGGATCAGGACTTGGGGTGCAACCCCCCGCCCCCGGCAGGCACGTCACTCTGTCCTTTTAGCAGAGCGTAGACGCACCCTCTTCTTGCAAGCAGGGTGGTTTCCTGGGAATTGGGGGGATAGGCTCGCGGCGCAGGCGAACTTTCCCTGCCGCGCACTCTGGGAAAGGCACCCTCCCTCGCGCCCCCCCCCATTCACCTGCCGCAGCAGGAGTTTGGGGGGAGACCGTTTGTCCTCTTTAGGCCACTTGTGAGGTCGAAGTGTGGATGGGATGTAGCCTATGGCCCCACAGCAACACCTACCCTAAACTTTAGGGCTCTTGGGTCGCCTCAAAGTTCAAGCTTCTTAGAAGCAACAAAGACTTTCTAAAGATCTCCACCCTCCCCTTACTTCACTCTTCTCTGGCTGCACGCATTCGACCCCCTTTCTTTCGAAGGCTTAGGGATGAGTTTAAATCATTGTGCTCCCATTTCTTGATAACTGCCTGCTTTGAGCTTTTGTTCTCTTAAAGTAGGATTGCACACTGAAAGAGGGGCTGAAGATGAACAGTTTGACCCTTTAGGACAGTTCACGCAGTGGACAGGAGCGGCCCGCGGTCACCATCCTCCCTGATGCTATTCACGCGCTCCCCTCCCCCTTCGCATAACATTTCAGCCTCGTTTCATCTGGACAATCTTTTAGACCACACAAGTGCCTCTTGAATTTATTTAAGTTAAAAGAGTGCTAGAAGAGTCCAGCTAAGGATATTTGGGGCTGGTCACGTCTTCGCAAAGCAGAGTAAAGAAATCGAAATTTCTTTCTTTCAGCAAAACTGGGCAAAATGCTGAACAAATAGAATCCTGCGACCGGGTGTGAATAGTTGGCTTCTGAATTTCACTAGCGTTGTTAAACGGTTCTTGAGGTGGTTTCTTTTCTTTTTTAAAATAATATTCTTCATAGTGGGAAATAGTTCCAGAAGTGTTCTATTACTGAGTGACGCTTCTCTTGAAAGCTACAATATAAACATACAACCAAAATTCTTAGAATTCCAAGATGACCCAGGGGTGATTTGTTAAAACTCTTGTACTTGACACAGTAATCTAACATACACTACCGCATACACCCAAAGAAGCCCTTATTTCAAAGACAAAATTCTGTAAAGTCCATGATACCTTTATATTTACATGGATTAGAGGTTGATTGATGTCAATGTTTGAAAATATACAGAACTTTAACTTTCTTGTCATAATTTTTCCTTTTGAAAGAAACTTCTGGAATCAGAAGTGTGTAATTTACCCTAATAATATTATACTTTTACTAAATGTCTGTAGAGGGCACACCTCAATATGCATTATTAACTTCTTACAGACAGTATAAAAAGTTTGGATTTTGACAAGAGAAAGCATGTACCCTTTCCGTGCATCATAAAAACATAAAATCCTGGAGGAACATAAAAACTGGGGAGTCAGACACCCAAATGCTGTTAACAATCAACTAAAGAAATCCATTGTGTGTTTCACTAGCACAAGCATTAGAGCCAGCTTGATCTCTGCCTCCGTTTAGAGTCATACAGAACTGGTCAGGCTTTCCTTTAAGCCTCTTCTTAACTGGTTTCTGATTCTGTCCCCCACCCCCAATATATTTTATCATCAGATCAAACCATCACTTCTAGCCAAACTAAAATTTTAAAACAACCTGTCCAAAGAGGTACCTTTCTACTGATACTAAAATAAACCTTTCTTTGCATTGTTAGCCTATTAGCTTGTCTTTCTTTGCAGGCAACTCCAGCACGAGATGTAGCTACCTACAGACTGACATCACAGGTTCCTCCCATCCTCCCAGGATTGGTTTTTAGCAGTTTTTGATCATTTCCTCAGAACTCAGCTTTCTCATCTCCTGCTGCATTCAAATTAACCCCCAAATCCTACATCTACTCACTGTTCCTGTGTTCTTTCGATCTGAACCTTGCTAGCCAAGACTTTGAAGGCTTTCCTTTAGGGAGACTGTGAAGAATATTTACTTGTTTGTTTGCTATCAGTGATCATCACCTGGAAAATAACGCTAAGGTGTACATGCAACTGCGGTAAGCACTTCTGGTAACTTTTACTACGGACACGTCTTCCGCTTGATGCAACTCTTTTATGAGGTTCTGATTCTGCAGGTTCATGATAGAGAACCAGAGACCCAAAGAAGTGTGAGAGAGACAGATGCTGTATTTTGGAGACCGAAAGTGTCTCCTCTCCCTTCTTTATAAATTTTTGCACTCTTCAAAATGAAGCCCTGAAAAGATGGAGGAGGCCACATGGGGAAACAGAGCTTCTAAATGTAGGGAACTTGTTTTTCAAAAGGGAGAATAGGCAAAACACAAATATCAGCAAGCAAAATGAAAATCGTAGCAGTTTTACAATCATTTCAAGACTGAAGGAGGAGGTCTGGAGCCTGGAGAGCTGAAGTGGGCGAAAGTCTCCTTTGTGGGATTCTAGTTTTCATTTTCTTTACTTTATGCCTTCCAACCCTGCTCATTACTCCCTGCAGAAAATATTAAACAAATGAAAAACATGCCAAAACACTAACAACCATTTTCATCATGCCCTTCTCCGGAATTTCCAATTCCTACAAACTGAGTGAGACAGACCTGCAGACAATTATCTTTTCCTCTTGACACTTTTCAGCTCCCAACATTCCAAATGCGCCTTGCTTAGACTTAATTTGCACGGGGGGGTCTCAAGGGCGTCCTGTCCCATCTACCGGAGTCCAGATGCATCCGCGCTATTCTTGCACAGCCTACCGCTGGGCCCAGCACACACTCCGGGGGGCTCTGCTTCGGTCTCTCCGACAGCCGCGTCGACAAGAGGGTGGGCATGAGCGTGGGGAGGAGGGGACAAGGGGGGGGCTGGCGAGCAATTCAGGACAAGTTTCCTCCCCAAAGTCCGGTAAGCCTCAGCCCTATTTCCCCGTTGAAAAGCCAGGAGTCCCGGGAGGACGGGCCCTTGTCCCTACAACGCCCCCCAGCGCGGAGCAGAGGTCACGGAAGTGTCAGCGCAGCCCGGGCGCGCGCTGGGGCCGCAGGTGGGCCGCCCCTCCCACTCCGCTCGCTGCCCGCGTCGCCGGAAGCCACCTTGCTGTCTGGCCCTGCGGGAAAGTGGGGTGAACCCCAGAAACCGAACAGAACAGGACAAAACCCGTGCCTGCTCCCGGAGACTCCGGCTGTCACAGGTTAAATGAGGGGAGCTCCTTGGGCTCTACCCCGTGGGGCCTTCCTGCTCACGTCCTCCGAGCGCGCGTCAGGCGCTGCCCCACCCGATCCGTCCCCGAGGCGCCCGGTGCACCCGCCGACGTCCTGTCGGGAACCCGCCACCCGTCGCCCGCCAGCCTCTCGGGAACCTAAGCACGCTCGCCCACCGGGGGCCCGCAGCCCGCCACCCGCGGCCCCCATTCCGCCCTCAACCAAACGAGTGCGTTTTAAAATCATTTACTGTTTGAGACAGCTCCTACGAGGCTTTGCCCCAGAGGGTGGCTTCTCCCCGCCCCGGCATTCTGACCCCCATTAACTAATTCCCCGGATCCCCGCGTCCGCAGCGGAGAGGCCGGGCGGCGCCGGGGAGGGCGCGAGCGCGCGCGCCGGGGCCGGGGGCTGGGCTGCGGCCGCCGCGACGGGGGCGGGGGCGGTAGCCTCGGTCTCCCCCACGGCCCCCGGCGCCCCGGCCCCTAATGAGCGGCTGAAAGGGAGCGGGCTCCGGTGCGCGTGGCTCGCAGGCCTCCCGGAGTCCGCGGCGCCCTGATTGGCCAGCTGCGCCTCGCGACCTCCATTCATTAATAAATTAGCGGCACGCTCCAGCCGAGCGCGAGCCACCAATCACAATGGGCAGCGGCGGCGACAACAGCCGCAGCTTGAGCTGAAGCCGCCACCGCGGCTTCAGGCGCTGCGACCGCAGCCCCGAGCTCCAACAGGAGCTTTAGAACCATTTTATGCTGATTAGATAAAGGGGGGGGGGAGGCGGGGGCGGTGGGAGGAGGAGGATGGATGGCAGGCCCGGGGAAGTGGGTGAAGACAGAGAAAGAAATGAATGATGATAATGCAATGAAAAGAATAAACCGGGGGAGGGAAAAGCGGGGGAGGGGGGTCGGCCCGGGGGGGGAGAGGGGGCGGCGGCCGGGGGTGGGGGGAGGTGGGGGCCCCGAGGGCAGAGCTGATTGTCTTCCCGGTGGTATATAAGGGGTTTTAAGGAGAGTCGTGTGCCAGACACGCAGCCACTGAACCACAAGCAGCTTCGCTTTAACTGGAGTGCCCGGGAGTCGCGTGCCAGGAGCCGCACGGCCGAGGACTGACTGACAGACAGACACGCAGCACCACCACAACACACGAGACCCGGGCGGATCGCCGCGGCCGCCGGCGCTCTTGGCAAACTGGTCCGCGGGCCTGGTCCCCCGCGGAGCCGCGCCAGCCCCGCCGTCCTCGGGGCAGAAGGACGCAGCGCTGCGCTCCGCCCGCGGCGCGGAGAGGCGCGGCACACGCCGGGGGGCGAGCGACGTGAGTATCCGCCGTGCGGCTCCCGACTGGGCGAGCTGTTTCCGGCACCCTGTTCCACCAAGCCCGAACACCCCCGGCCCCCGGCTCGAGCAGAGTCTCCGTCCCGGGGGCCGCAGCCGCGAAGCCTGGGCCAGGGGCTCCGCCGCGCGCGCAGAGCACTCCTCGGCCTCGGCGCCCTCCGGGGCCGGCCCAGGGCTTCCGCGGGCGCCGAGGCTGTGCCCCTGCCTCCGCATTCACGTCTCCTTCCTTGCGTTCTTTCTCCCTCCCCGCTCTCCTCGGTAGGATGTTCGTCAAATCCGAGACCTTGGAGTTGAAGGAGGAAGAGGACGTGCTGGTGCTGCTGGGCTCGGCCTCCCCCGCCTCCGCGGCCCTCACCCCGCTGTCGTCCAGCGCCGACGAGGAGGAAGAGGAGGAGCTGGGCGCGTCGGGCGGGGCGCGCCGGCCGCGTGCGGCGGAGGCCGGGCCGGGGCCGCTGGGCGGCTCGCCGCCGGGAGCGGAGGGCTGCCGGCCGGCGCGGCTGCTGGGGCTGGTGCACGAGTGCAAGCGGCGCCCCTCCAGGGCGCGGGCTGCTTCCCGCGGCGCCAAGACGGCCGAGACGGTGCAGCGCATCAAGAAGACCCGCAGACTGAAGGCCAACAACCGCGAGCGCAACCGCATGCACAACCTCAATGCGGCGCTGGACGCGCTGCGCGAGGTACTCCCCACGTTCCCCGAGGACGCCAAGCTCACCAAGATCGAGACCCTGCGCTTCGCCCACAATTATATCTGGGCGCTCACCGAGACCCTGCGCCTGGCGGACCACTGCGGGGGCGGGGGCGGAGGCCTGCCGGGGGCGCTCTTCCCCGAGACGGTGCTGCTGAGCCCGGGAGGCGCTAGCGCCACCCTGAGCAGCAGCGGAGACAGCCCGTCGCCGGCCTCCACCTGGAGCTGCAGCAACAGCCCGGCGCCGTCCTCCTCGGCGTCCTCCAACTCCACCTCCCCCTACAGCTGCACTTTATCTCCCGCCAGCCCGGCGGGTTCCGACATGGACTATTGGCAGCCCCCGCCTCCCGACAAGCACCGCTACGCACCTCACCTCCCCATGGTCAGGGACTGTATCTAGAACTGCCATCCCCGCCGCCGGCGCCAGGCCTTAGCGGGTCCCCGTTGCCGTCCGTCCCTGATCTGGCCCTCCTGCCACCCTTCTCCTGTCCCCTCTTCTGACTATGCCCTGGAGACCATCTCACTTCACCGGGCAGGCAGTTTTAGCCGTTCTGAATCCTGGGTTGTTTGCTGCATTCCTTGACTAAGGGTTTCCTTCTTTAGGACGGTCTCTAATTTATTGACGGTGTGATGGAGCTTGTTGTCAAAGAGGATGGTACAATTGTGGGGGCGTTTCTTAAGGCAAAAAAAAAAAAAAGATGCTGGGAAGCGCTGAAGGTGGCACCGCTAAAGAGTTTGCAGAGCGGACTGACGCTCCTCCCCCTCTCTGTAAGGCCCGAGGGACTCGGAGCGGTTCGTGTGAATCTCCCAGGGGGAATGCAACTGGTTCCTCTGATCTCTTCACCTTTGCTTCTACATAGAGATGTTAATGTCGAGTAGAAAGAAATGTGTCTTAGCATCTGAATGATTTTACCGGTAATAATATTATCCACAGATTTGCAATGGCTGGCATCTGCTTTATTCCCATTGCTGTCTGCGGGCTGTGGGAATTTCACCTGTCAAACCAAACTTTCCCTCTCTGATGTGCACTTTGTTCTGTTTCCCAGATTCGTCACAATGCCCATTGTTCCGTCCTTCTCTTTCCTTTTTCTTCTCCATTTTGCCATCTGTCTCTTATGATTTATAAGGGGAAAAAAGTTGTTTTGTTAGAGGGCCAGGTTAGAAGTCATTGTATAATTTGTAGGCTTTGTAATGATTGAATGCAAGCGTGGAAATTTAGGCTGAACTCTCTATCAAAAGGAAAAATGTGGAGGAAAAGGGAAAAATCAGGAGGGAGGATTGCTTCATGCATTATTTATCTCGACCTTTTAGGGGAGAAGGAACTCCCCCATTCTTTCAAGAGATTAAAAATAAATCAACAGACTGAAAACCTAAGCAGACACGGAGCATTATCAGGATCAGCCACACACGTGTTCCCTTCTATTTATTATAAAGAAATTTTTCATGGGAAAAGTATGTATTTTTTTGTATATTTTACAGAGTTTATTCTAGTATGTATTTACATCTGGAACAAAAAATTGTTCTTGTGATTAAACTATAAATAAATATATAATTTTCATAATTTTTGTGCGTTGTATTCTAACTTTTGTCCACTTTTGTGGGTTTTGTGTGTAGAACTTCACTGACATGTAAAATCTAAGAAATCACAAGAAGCAGAATCGTATTTGAGACACTGACACTGACATCAGAGTATAACTGCGTACAAACAAAACTTGTTTTTTAAGAAATCAATTTCTGAGCGAACAAGATCAGGAAAAGGGGAGAGAGGGTTAAAAGATAATTAAATCATAATAAATTCCACAGTTCAGAAATCTTGATGTAAAAAAAAATAGTGAAGTTGAAGTTTCTTGTTAGAATGTATAGATCTTATACTCTGAGTTTCAGTTATCACCTGTAAATTGTAGGGTTTGGACGGTGATTTCCAAGAGTCCCTTCCAGCTCTAACATCTGTGATGTATTTGTAATTCATTATTGGAAGCTGGTTTTGTATTAGCCATTTTGACAAACTTGTTGGGTTGAAAAGTAAACTGGAGAAAAACTATCCAGAATGAACTGGGATAAAATTGTATCCGAGGGAAATAGCTAAGCTTTGCATTATTGTTAAAATAATTACATAGTCAAAACTTCCTCAGAGAGAAAGCAAAAATGGTTTCCTAATCTCCCAAACACATAATTCTATAACTTGCACTTCAACCTCCAAAGCAGAAATGAATAGCACTATAGATCAAAGATGACCAAGTGAAAGTTGACCACATTATAGGTTTAACCCCTTTCCTTGGCCCAGGGTGTCCACTGGACAACACAAACTAAAAAAAAAAAAAAAAAAAAAAAAAAGTCACCTAAGCAAAGAAAAGTTGGTTGTTCATGCTCCCCTCCCCCACCCACTGTGAATTTCATATCTGCTTCTAGTTTGGGCTAAATCTTCCACTCCTCTGCATTAAGTAACAATAATTTCTCCTGAGATATCTATCTGAAACTCCTCCTCCTCTCTATCTGTATGGAAAATATTAAGTGTTTAATATCTTAATAGCATTTTTTTTAATCAAAGGAAGAACCCAGCCAGGGGTTTGCTTTGTTTTGTTTTCATAGCTGACCATAAAAGAGACCTGTTGGAAAACCCTTCTAATGTAAAGCCTGTGTTGTTCCTAGCCACTCTTGATGAACTGATATGAGGAGAAAGTGCTATATCTTTTATATTCACTTTTATGTTTCTAGGGTTTAAAAAGCTAAGCCAGCAAGTAAAACAATCTTAGTAGGGGAGTCTTAAAACATCACAGTTTTAATGCCAAAAAATTGTTCTAGTGATGATGCTTATGATGATACAGGGTGCTTCTTTTGGAAGTTTGCCAAAGACACATTTCAAGGCACAGGACTGTGGAGACAAACCCTCAGGGACAGCTAGTCTCCCAAGACTATGGGAAACCTCCTCAACTGGTGAGGCGATCCCGTAACCAGGTGACCCTAAGTGTTTAGTTGGAGAGGCACGGATGGGGAGGTGGTCTAACAATCGCAGGCTTGAACGGAAAAACTGAAACCGCTACTTAGCGGAATGGAGCAGCCGCCCCTACACAGGACCAGAGAGGCGCGTGGAGCTGGAGCGTGGAGCTCCGCACACAGCAGCAGCATGTCAGAAATGGCAGGAATCCCGCCTACCATTTGTAACCTATACTCAGGCTTTCCCTTCCTCACCTACAGCAGACCTTATTTTACACTAAATTGGTGCAGTGGTTATTTATGGCGTCCAATCTCTCTCCGCGGTTGAGGATGAGGTTCCCTCTGCCTCCCCGGGCGCTGGAAGTCGCGCAGCCACCTCCGCAGCGGGTGGGCCGCGGCCCAGCCGTCCTGGCCCCTCCAGGGTAAGCAGGAGAACCAGCCACCAGGCCACAGCTTCTGCAGGAGGGAACATAGTCGCTCTTCTCTTTCATTCATTTCCTCCCCACGTCGTTATGACCGCAACCTGATGAGCTGGGTCTGTCTGCGTGGAGCAGGCAGGCGGGCGGCCGAGCAGCCATTCTTCAGTCTTTCTCTGGCAGCTCTCTGATGGCAAACGTCTCGGACGGGGCCAAGATGCTCTTGCAGCGTCAGTCCCACGCGGCCGGGGTTGCTAGATCTTTCCAGCGCCAGCGGCTGCGCTGCGCGTGTTGACTTAGGGGCTGAGAGGTGCGAAGGTTGGTCCTGTCCTCGTTGGAAGCTCCGCTTCGCCATCAGGCTTCCAGGACCGGTGGTATTTATTTGCTCTGAACTCCCCAGGCCTTGTTAACTGACTGATTTTTCCTTCACCAGATGTTTAATGAATCCAGCTGCGGGCCAAGCAAGGAGGAAACAAGCGGCAGAGACGGGCTGCCGGGGCTCGGCCCACGCCGGGACCCGGGCCGGACTCAGCCGAGGCGGGAGGCGAGAGCAGGGCTGAGCGCAGGGGGTCCCGCCGCCCCGAGCAGGGGGCGGGTGGGCGCCCTCGCCGGGGAGCCCTGCAGGCCGGGCTGAGGCCCATGCACCCGAAGGCCCCGGGCGGTCTCGTCCGGGAGAGAGCGAGGGTCCAGTGCGTCCTTCCCTGAGCCCGATTACACAGAAGGACATGTGGGCCCCAGGCCCGCTGTAGCCGCGCCCGCCCGCCAGTCCGGGAGCAGGGGCTCCGGGCTGCGGCAGCCCAGGCCTGCGCGCCCCCACCCGCCTCGCCCTCCGCACCCCCTGCACTGCACAGCCTTAGGCAGGTTGTGACTTCTGGGCACCGACACCTGGAAGGCGTTAAAAGCGCCTCCTCCTTGAGCCCGGCTCCCCAGCCCCCGCCCCCGTGTCCCCACCCCCGCTGTCCCCTCGGCTCTAGGGCTCCCGGGCGAGCTTTGAATGTATTAATTAAATAAAGCAGGCAGCCCTTGAATCGAACCGATGCAGGGCGCTCCCGGGAGCGTGAAAAGTCCCGGCCTCCGAATCCGCAAAAGAAAATGTGTGAAAAGAGAATTAGTGAAATTAGGTTAGACCAATAAAACGTGAGGGCTCCAGCACCCCCCTCCTGGCTCCCCCAGCCTGGGGCTAGAAGGGCTATCTGGTCTGATCTATTGTTTCCCTTCCTGGCAGGGGGTTCATTGTGTGATAAATAATTCCCCTTCCATTTTATTCTTTAAAAAAAAGGGGGGGGGTATTTGCATAATCACTGCTTTGATGTGGCCAGAAATCGGAGGCTTGGTCTCCCCAAGTCTGCTATTGGTAGCGAAGTAACAAAGCTCGATCCAGATCTTTCACTTCGCTAACAGTGTGTGGGGCAGATTGTCAGAAACGGCAGCGTTAAGCTCCCCCCCCCTTTTTTTTTTGAGGATCCATTTTAATGATTACACTTAAGGAATGTCCAAAAATGGGGTGTGTGTGAAAAACGAAGGTTTGCACCCCCCCTCTACTTCTCTCTGTCCTTTAGGGTTCATTGCTCTTGGCAGTTTTTCCCCCAAAGCCTTTGGGGGTGTGTGTGGGGGGGATGCGCCTTCCCGGGGGCCGCCCCACGTGGCGCGCAGTGGGCACCGGCCAGGTCCGCCCGGCGGGGAGGAGCGAGAACGGCAGGAGCGGGTCTCTCCGCACCCCTCCCCCACGCCGCCCCGGTTCTCTTGTCCCAGTTGGGTTTATCCAGCCTGGATGAGCTCCTCTTACCGAGGGACGCCGAAGTGAGTTTGCTCTTTAGTCCCCGAGTCGAATCCGGGGGGTGGGGGGATCCTGGGAACGCAACTTGGGGGCAGTTTCAGATGGTCTCCGACGGGAGAGAGGAGCAAAGAAATGCAGTCATCCGGAAAGCAGAACTGGAAAGCCAGTGTGGCCGAAGCTATTATTTTCCTGCGAGGTGGCGTGAGTCGGGAGGATGGAGTGGGAAAGGATCCTGATGGTGCGCGCACTACAACAGATGACTTTTTTTCTCCC